AGTTAAGACCGCTGCTAGGCCTGACGCTCTTCACTATTTTCACCCTCCCATCAACATAATCATCATCTCACACGTCAAAATCATCATCATCAACATCCACACGATTCATCTGTATAATACCATTTCATCCACAACCAACTCTATATAGAGTTGGTCGTGAATTCATCATCATTAGAAGCGGCGCCGCAGGCTTTCACGGTATGTGCAATTTGCCCTTCTGCTGCGCCGCAGCTCTCCAGAGCTAAGAGAAATATTTTATCATCATATCATATCATGCGCCTCACCCAGAGCTGGAAGATGTGAAAAAACAAAACAATATGGCGGCTTCAAATGGCATGATGATGATAGCTGGCAAGCATTTTGCATATGCGGAGCTCATCTGTGTGAAGCTGGACAACAGATGCAAATATGAGTTTGAGATAACCACAACGATTTTGAAGGTTGTGTTAGTTAACTATAAACAGCCATTTTTGTCTTTTTTGTTGTTTTTTCGTAAAAACCTGTTGAGCAACTTGAGACATTTTTCTCAAGCAGAGCCAATTCTGCTGGTATTTCCACTGCGAACGTGCGTATCAATAAAATATCTACTTTTTCCAATAGATGCCGTATTGTTTTTCGGCGTTTAAGGCCGGCTCCCACAGCACCGTTTTGCTTACGTTTTCTTACGTTACGTTATACAAGTCAGCAGAACTTTCGTGTATCGAATGTCAAGCGCAAGGTTACTGTTTGAACTGGTTGCCAAGCTTCACACGAATCACGGATGTTCAGGTGACTCTCAACATAAGCAGACGTAAGCTTCCATAGCATAACGTAACGTAAGCAGACGGTGGTTTGTGAACCTGCCTTTATTGAGATCCTCTCAAGCGGGCGAACGGAGACAATTCCAGCTTATAAACCTTTTTCAATTATCGCCTTTTGCGCGCCACTATTTTTGCCTACATGTGCTGTGAAATGCCTTTTGAGCGTGCGCCATTGACGTCTTCTGCGGAATATCAGACGCTCCGCAGGTGCCCCAAGCCCGATGACTCGGCATGTTTCGCCCGGGTGACAAAAGCAGGAGAAAGTGTACACCGAGAGCGAACAGGTTGCAGTGTTCTAAAGAAAGAGAAGAAAGTTACTTTGCTCTGAATGTATCTTCGACTGGTGTTTTTATAGGGTCATACATCCCGCCTATATAATAAAAGTGGTCCCGAAGGGACAACAAATGGCGTCACAGAAGTCCGCGTGTCGTGTTGTCGCATGTCACGAACTTGGCGGTTAGTGCTAGGAGTCTGGTACAAACGAACGCGAGTGTCGCTGTCGTTGCGGAGTCCCGACTCCCGGCTGCTAAAGCTTCCGTGGACTGTGAAGCTGGACATCGACCTGCAGCAGAACTTGCGTCTGCCACATCCACACACCGCTGCCCTGATACGGATCGCGGCTGGCAACCACATGACCCATCTCTAACGTGATCAAGCGGTCATCGAGGGACCAGTTTTTAGGACGCTTTAAACACACCAGGCGGAAAAGCGCTCCAGGAACCACCGTTTATATTAACGAAAAGGTGGAGCTAGCTGTCGTCAAAAGAGAGTCCAGAAAAAATTTACAAAACCCTAATTCATAAAACACGCCGGAATTTGGATGCGTTAAAAAGTACAGCATCACATTTTGAAAATAATCTAACCTCCGGGTATAGACAGGCGGGCAGTTTCTGAAAGTTGAATTGCCTGAAAAGTTTCCTGCGCTTTAGACAATACGGGGCCATTGTCGTCATGAAGGCTCGGTCTCATGTTTCCGAATTTTTTCTCTGGTAGTCTGTGTGTTCAAAACTCGTAGATTATGTTAAGATTAAGTTATACGTACGTGTGCAAGACGTTAACTCGCGCAATATTCTTTACTATTAGACTGGTGGGTGTCGTGTTAATAAGCACTCGTATGTGGAGTGCAAGTTAGTCTGCTTCTTTTGTAGAGGTTGTGGTGACGTCAGAACGCCAAGTTCTGATTGGCTCCGATTGAAGGATAGTGGGCAGAACTCAAAGCAAGCTGCCTTTAGGGCTACCCACTATCCTTCAATCGGAGCCAATCAGAACTTGGCGTTCTGACGTCACCACAACCTCTACAAAAGAAGCAGTCGAACTTGCATTCCGCATTAAAGAGATTGTACGATGATATCCAGAAGTTACTACGTTTTTGCGCTGGTCACGTAGAGAGAGCATAAATATAGTCATATGTGTTTTTATTTCATTAAAAGAGGCCCCACTATTTGTTCATTCAATTATGACTATGAATACAAAACGTCATGCCAATTTTCGCCAGTATGCATGGCTGGTCGTGTCGTGACGTCACATCAGGCATGGTAACGTCAAAGTCGCGGGCGTTGACTTATTCCTGGCTTCGATCAACATGGTTGATGTTACGTACAAAGATGATGGTCGAAGAATTGAGCTCCACTCGATACCCTAAATCTTGCCTTTTTTAGAACAAAGTTATTTGGCTGAGACAGCAGTCAGAAGCTGAGTTTCCTCTCTTCGTCTGATGTTATCAGAGCTTCCGCTCTTTCCAACCAAAACGCGTAGTGTTTTGTAGATGCAATCTAAGCAGTTGTGCTCTGTGTAAAATTGAGTTACTTGTGCGGCGGAGGATTAAAAATTCGGATATTGTGCCTATGATATTGCTAAAAGCAATGATAATATAATTTAATTGTTTTCTAAAAGACAAAGTTTTGTCGGACAATCCCTTTAATATAGCAGTGCTGCGGCGTGCGCGTACTGTGACTCCAACCACTTGCTCTCTTATCCCCATTAATCGGCTTCCCGCTTTAACCGACTGATGGCGCCAGAATTCGTTAGACGTATTTAGGCTCTGTTCACCTAAGGACAGCAGCAAACGGATGCTGAACCAAACATTTCGGTGTCTATAATAAGTGGCGCACGATCTTTCCACGAATCAGCAGCCGCCGGTGTGCGCGAGAAAACGCAACGAGATTGACGTCATCATATCCCCCATTCACGATCAAGATGACAGTGAAATGTGTGGGCTCCAGGGAAAAGGAGAATAATGACAAGGTTTTCATCTACACAGTTGTGTTTGGTGTAAAATTTTCTCTTTATTATTAAATCTTTATTCTCCTGTGGCCCGAAGCCCATGCATTTAGGTCTGTGACGTCATTTTCGTTGCGTGTGATCGCACACACCGGCGGCTGCTGGCTCGTGGAAAGAACGTGCGCCACTCATTATGGACACTAAATTCTTTGGTTCAGTATCCCTTTAAGAGTCGAACGCGATAGCATTTTCGGGCCCCGTTCGCAAAGCCTCCTCATATAAACGCGTGGTCGTTGCCAAGCTGTGCAAGCGTGTTTGCGTGACGTCACACGTGCCGGTGACGTCATGTCCCTATCGCCCCGCTAAATTTTGCGGGAAATTGTTCTGTTAAATTTGGCGGAAAACTTTTCCGCTATATTTGGCGTGAAAAGTTTCCGCTATATTGGCCCAGAAATTTTTCCGCTGAAGTTGGCGGGCAAATTTTCCCTTGAACTTGGAGGAAATCTTTTCCCGCCAAATTTAGCGGGTAAATTTCATAATGCAACTCGCGCAGCCAGTTGTGACGTCACGTGTGTCACGAGACTGCGCGCGTTGCATTATGGATATTTTGGTCCCACCGACGCCGACGACGACACCGACACCGACGCCGACGCCGACGACGGGTTTTCTGCGACACGAGCTCCTAAACGCTAAAAGAAGGTTTCTTCTGGGCGATCTGGCAATTTTCGCCTACTTTGATGTGCTTTAGTTCCGGCATCCTATATGCTGTATCTAAATTTGCCGTTGAATAATGCGAAACACAATTTACGGCTATGAAACTTGACAAATTATCACACTTTACATTTGTGGCCTCTTTTAACGACGGGCTACAAATATCTAACTGGATTGTGTGTCGGCTACGCGGACCTTAAAATAGTTCATCTGTACGCTAAATATCAGGTTGCACTCGGGGTGCCCACAATCATTTTACAGCGAAGTGGTATATGACTTGTTGGTCAGATGTCTTCCGTGTTGTCGGCATAACAGTAGTCAACAAAAAACCATTCCATACATTTTTAAGCGAAAAAAAAAAAAGAAAGCTTCACGGCCTTTAGGAGTTGATTATGGGGCTTTAAACTCGTCAAACACAAAGTTACAGCCGAAAGTTTGCGGAGTGCGCCGATTGGACGTCGTCGAAAAAAAACGCGAAGTCATCGTCGTGATAGGGCCTATGCCAATCGGTGCGCTCCGCCAACTTTAGCCCCAACTTTGTTTCACGAGTTTCGAGGCTCAGGGGTCTTTGCGCGCGAGTCGGGTGCGTTGCCACTGGGCCAAGCATGAGGCAATGTGCAAAAGAGCATAAACGTTCTGCGCTCTGTGCGGGATGAACATAGAAGAAAATAAGTTGGGGCTCCAATCTACGCTGTGGAGGTGGTTGGCTAGCGAAGCTGTGATATCACCTGCAACGATTGCCCATTGCACCATACCAAATGATTGACGAAAGAAAAGGAAATGCACTGTGCCAAACCTTTTCCAAGTCAGCCAACCACCGAGCATGGGTCATGCGTTGATGTAACGTTAGCTAAGAATCTCTCTACAGTGAGAACGGTAGCACAGTGATCAGAAATCAGTTATCAATTTCGTTTCAAAATAAAATGTTTGGTACAGTGCATTTACTTTTCTTTCGTCAATCGTTTGTTTAGTGCAGTCGGCAATCGTTGCAGGTGATACCAAGGCTTCGCTGGCTAGCCACCTTCACATCGTGGATTGGGGCCCCTACAATTTTTTATATGTTAACTGTTCATTCGCTAAAAAATATCACCAGTCTAAAAACCCGTAGATACCTCATTGTAATAGCAGAGAGGGTGTGAACGTACAATTTGAGTCCCAACGCAGCGTCGATTGTTCTTCAATCGGGGTATATTATGTAAAGAGTGTACAATAACCGATGTGTGTAATGCCGTTTACTCTGCACTTTTCTCTTCTTTCTTGTCGTTTCAGGAAAACTTCTGACGATTATAAGGACAGCTCGTTCGAATGAAGCTAGCCGCAACGGCGTCACGAGGAAGGTCCCGCTCCAAAGCCAGCCAATCAACGTGGAGCACACCCTGCCCAATGAAAGACCGTCAGGGAGCGCGCCCGAGCAAAGAATATGTCATATGCGTCACGCTAACCACGTCCCAATCCAGTATTACCAAGGGTACTAAGCATATCGCTCAAGCGTATTAAGCTTGTAAGCAATTTAACGATCATTCCGTCGATTGCGAGTGTACCACGTTCGTATACACGTCATGCGTAACGTCTCTTCGTGTTGCACCTCGCGAAAACGTCGCCACCCGTGGCCTAAGGAGGCAAAGATGGTTGCCAGCACTTTGCCATCTGTTGTTCACTCGACTGCTGTCAGCTAATTGGAACGCGTTCGGTGTTCTGCCCACATCCCCAATACGTCCTCGTTTATTTATTGTATACTGTGTTGGCAATGGATTATTTTAAGGCTTGCCTCGCTTTCGGTCTCAACTCGGACAGTGTCGATAAGCGTCCCGCGCGGTGCACTAAATGTATGGCTTATGTAGTTTTAAATTGTCAGGAATTTGGTTCCTATCCGTCAGTGTGCTCCTTCGCGTTGAAATCTGGAACACAATAAAGAAAGATGAAACGAAGCTCACGTTTTTGCCTGTGCTTGCGACACTTGGTTTCACTTTAAATCAGAGCCGTTTATACTGAGAGAGTCTGACCTTCTTAAGAAGATTTTGCCAGCCTGGCAACCACAGCAGCGTAGTTTGACAACCGGAAGATGACTACATCCGTGCGCCATTTTGTGGCTCTGACTCGTAGGAACGCTATGCGATTTCCCAGGAATAAACAAGACAAAGAAGTAACGACATTTTGTGTCATCGCGAAATCCGCTGGTTCTAGCAAGCAACAAGCTCCGCCCATTGACCAAACTCTCTCAGTATAAATAACTCTGCTCTAGGTCAGACTACAGAGATCCTCCCGGAGCCAATCGAGCAACGCTAATAAAAATGCATCGTCACGGCGCTCGTCGTTTTTGTGCGTTTTTTTTTATCCCCTACGATAACCAATCACGCACGACAAAAAGCACAGAATCACGCCGCATTTACCTTGCGCGATTGGTTTAGCCTGCGAAACGCACAAAACAGACAGGCGCCAGGGCGGCACACTTTTGGCCCTGCTTGATTGGGTCCATCGGGTCGTAGGGTTGGCTGCGGTCGGGCTTAATGTGAAGCCGAGTGCAGACCAATCAAAGAGTGGCTGGCCGACGGTTGGCAAAAAGTAAATGTAGCCAACGTATGGCAGCCACTCGTGGGCCAACAACGTCAGCCAACAGTGGTCGGCTCAAGATGGTCCAAGTCCTGACACTGGGAACAGGTGGGTAACCCTATTTTAAGGCGTATATGCATGGTCCGCGGACCTGTACACGTTTAAAAGTTGAATTGTGTTCGTTTCGGACTATATATCTACAAGTGCGGACTATTTGCGAGGATTTTTACAGCGAAGTTGTATATGACTCATTGGTCGGATTTCTTCGTGGCGGCGTCTTCACGGAAAGAAAGTTTTAAAAAAAGCTTTCAGCGATTGAAAAAAGTGCATATACCGCATACGGAATATAGTACAGCATTCGTTTCAATAAACAACAAGCATCCAAACCCCATAATTGGTGATAAGGCGTTCCTCATAACAACGGGAAGCACGTAGCGCTCATCGCATACGTTTCTCGGTAAATATTACTATTGCGCAAGCTGCCGCAGCGACGGCAGCTTGCAACGTGTGGAGTGACGTCACTAGCCTTTCATATATAAAAAGTTTTGGTGCTCTGCATTTACTTTTTATTCGTCAATAGTTTGGTATAGTGCAGTGGGCAATCGTTGCAGGTGATTCCACAGCTTCGCTGGCTAACCACCTTCACAGCGTGGAATGGAGCCCCCAATTTTTTTTTGTAGATCGTTCATCGCGATAAGACCAAGGATTTCATAAATAACAAAGTATGTTAATGTTGATTTATGTATACGGTACTAGTGTTCGAACCTCGTCGGGAACATAGAAACTGGTGAAAGAATAAGAGAAAATTTAATTAGCGCCAAGGGGGCAGGTGTGCCTGCCATGAGAGCTACTGAATGCGCCACGCGGATGGTGGCACCTACTTTGCGCGTTTTCTTCATCGTCTTCAAGGATGTCGCCAACACTCGACCATCCTGTAAATCAAGTGTCCTCGCTTGAGTCTGTCCTCAATTTCACTACTATTGGCGTAAAAAATGTCACGCCGTTTCATTTTGTTGGCTGGGAGGTGGTGACTGCGCTGCTGCCCAGGTATGTCCTGGGTGCGATAAGTGTCGTCAGGAAGTCCCTTCGTAACAACCTAGGGTTCTTTCTACTTCGGTAGCAACTTGCAGGATTCTCCGGTCGCCGTCAGTCCACGCTAAACTAGGATGATGTCCTTTAGTTCAAATATCGGTGCTTGACGCTTTTTGTTGTAGCGGCGCTCTTGTTTCTCTTGGTCAAGTCGGATGGCTTGGATAGCGGCCGCCCGTCAACTTGACATGACCTCGTGCGTTTGAGTAAACGCGTGCGCAAAGCGGTGTCTAGATGATTTTTGATCAAGCTTCTTGACTTGTAGCTCAGCAGCACGCTCAATGGGATGCTCTGTATCGCGTTGCGATAGGTGTTGTTGAGACTCGGTTGGACGTGAACAACAAATTCATCCCACTCTTGCTCATCCTTTTTATCTTCATTAATCGCTGGAGTGATTGTCTTCTTGAAGCACTCAACTTGACCATTCGCACCGGGCATAGCCGTTTAAGTCAAAACGAGAGCATGGCCAGCTTTTTTACAATACTTCTTGAAAGCTGAGCTAGTATACGCCACTCCTCGGTGCGCAACGAAAATGGCACCTAGCCTTTTGCGCTGTTTAACTATTTCAATCCGGTCAGTGCCAATCTCTAGAGCATAATTACTAATAGCGTGCTTCTTTACAGGTCTAAACAAAATTGCCTATACTCGGGACGGTGGTACAAAAAGTCCAACGATGTATTGCAAACAGCGTGCAGTCGCTTGACCCTGTTAGTGTTCCTAACAGGCGCGAGCATGACAAACTTCGTAAACGCGTCCACGGCTACATTAAGGTATATGTTCCCATGTCTGGATTTGGGAACGGTCCCAAGTGGTCGATATAAATAGTGTGAAATGGGAGACCGACCTTTTCGGTGTAATGAAGCGCACGGTTTCTTTCCTGTAGGGCGCTTGCGGTACAGGCACTCTGTGCACGCTGCCACATACCTCCGACATAGTACTTAATTCCTGTGAGCCAGTAATTCTATTGGATATCCTTTTGGACGACGACACTGCTTCTGGTAATTCTATTTGTGTCCCCTGACATATAACCAAATATTTGCTAAATAGCGGGCCTGCACTTTGTATCCACCGATTACGTAACAGCAAAGAAGTATCGGACCTCTCTTCGCGAAGGGCCCCCTTCAGGGAGGCTAAGCTTCCTGCAAAAATGAACCCTGAATCAACAGACCAACTGATGCTCGCCGCCCTGCAAGACATAGCAGATTCGGGGACGTCTTTCAAAGACGGCTATCAAATTCCGCCCAAGGAACCGACTACAGATACAATGACTTGCACTTCCTCTACGATCGTGTCTGCCTGCGATGACGACAACATGCTGCCCGGCGACGATGAATTCGAGACTGCTCAGGGAAAGAAGAGGCGTAAGACGAACCCACAGTGTCATGCTTCACCTCTCAAGGATGAAGGCAACCTACAAGTTGGATGCACCGTATTGTACATCCCGACTGAGAACCACAAGGTTGAGTCGCTCAGCAAACTCAAGCTTACAGACTACCTGAACAACGTTGCTCCAGGCATCGTGAGTGTTGTCCGGATTTACAAAGCTCGGAACATTGTCGCAGTTAATGTGAAGCGACCTCTCTTTAAAGCAGAGCTTCTCAAGCTGTCCTAGCTATGCACCGTACCGGTCAGAGCCTTACTGCCGAGAGATCGCTCAAACTGTTTTGGAATTCTGCGAGACATTGACCCTGACTGCACAGAAGACGACATTAAAACTCATCTGCAGTCCTCCGTTGGCGTGGCAGAGGTGAAGCGACCTGGGAAGACGTCACCCGTATTGCGAGTCGCCTTCACAGGGAAAGTAACTCCTCAGCACGTGAAAGTGGGGCTTGTAAGAACTGAGGTGATCCCCTACCGAGCACGTACCTTGCAGTGCTACAAATGTTACAAGTTTGGCCATATTGGAGCTGCGTGCACAGCAGAGTTTCAATTGTGTTATCGATGTGGACTGCGTCACGAAGGCACGTGTGAAGCCAATCCCAACTGCGTTAACTGTCAAGGACAGCACGCCTCTAACACAGCCGAGTGCCCAGTCAAGGTACGAGAGACTGAAGTTACAAGGTATCGGCTAGAAAACAACACCACTTTTCACGAGGCAAAATATGCCGTGCACGCTAAACGTCAGGCTAGCAAGGAAACGACTGAAGGTGGCAAACCAGCGTCCAGAATCACCACCAGTAGTGTGCCGTCACTAAATGCTCAGAAGTACCCTCGTCTTAAGAGCCTGGAGAACAAAAGCGACGATCCTGGAGCTGTAGCGACTACTACAACAGCCGCACTCAGAGAAGCACGAAAACCATCTTTTGGGGAAAAACAAAACATCAAAGACGTACATCACTTCACACGCGCCTTCCGATTCGCGTACCTCGGCGCCAAACCAGGCTGGGGAAACAGGTACTACATCGTTTTTCAAAACCATAATACCACTGGTATTCACCGCACTTCGTCAAATATTGAAAACGATTCCACCGGCATCAACGTTCCATCACGCGATTGAAGCGATCCTTTCATTAGAGTCCTTTATTGTAAGGGTACTCTGAAGTTTTACCACTCTCGCCTCACCCGGAGAAACGAACACTGGTCATGTTATGCTTCAATCGCTAGAAAAACAGACCTCAGGGAACCCCCGACTACAGGGAAATGTACACAAATTTCGTAAGCTTTTTTTTTTAAATATTATTTACGAATTTTGTCACCGTACTCTTGATTCACAAGCTAACACTCTGGCTTTCAAGGAGACATTTTTGCTCCAAGGCAACTACCGATTTTCACCATACATGTACTACCACAGCCTATTTATTTATTTATTTTTAAAGCCGCAAAGATCTATTTTACAAGGTATGGAAGTGTTGCGCTTAGAATTTTGGTTTTGGTTGACTTTATGCTCTGTCCGAGCCCTCCCTTTTACCCTACATATGTTATCTGTAGAGCAAATTCGGTCACAAGCAACCATTTTCCAATGGAATGCAAGGGGTCTCCGCAGCCGACTATCTGACTTTCGACAATTTTGCCATAAGTACCAATTTCCTCTCATAGCCTTGTCGGAATCAAACATTGCTAGTGATTTTCGTCTATCCGTTTACGAGGTTTTTCGCTGGACGCGAGGTACACCTCCAAGCCGAGTACTAGTCGCGGTTCGGCAAGACCTTACCTATATTTCTCACGCCCTTCCACCTGACGCTAACAACGAGTACTTAGCGTTGACTGTCAAAAACGATTACCGTATATACCGCGAATATGGTGAATATTCGCGGCGTATATTCCGCCAAATACTCAGTTTAACAC